CTAGGGGGAAAAATCCATATTCCAGCACCTACCAGTCAGATAGAATCTACCTAGTGCTGTCAAAATAAACTCAAGTTTTGGCTGGTTCACACAGTGATAATGGCTGTCTCATGGTGTCCTATCTTCAGCTGCGCTGTGCTCAGATACCAGCGAGTGCAGTATAAAGGCATCCAAGTGCATCAGCTGTGTAGCAATCACATGACTAGTATGGGAAAAAAGCCTTTCTACAGTGAAAGGCCTTTCTGAGAATGCTAGATATCCTTCCCTGGAATGAGCTGCCCCAGAGCTGAAGGTCACTAGCCCAGTGAAATGTCTAATGTAGTGTCTAAGACATTAGAATTGTCCCCCAGGAAGTGTGTGAGCCCAGCTGGAATTGAGACACAGCAAGACGTATTTCAAATTCTTCACTATATGATCAAGATACTGCTCACCAAAGCTGGAGTTTCCAAGGTGCCCAAATCCCACTGGATACAAAATGTACTTGCACTCCTAAGTCCCTTTGGCTGTGTCCAGACTCAGGGTTTTTTTCCGAAAAAAGTAGCCTTTTTTCGAAAAAACATCACCTGCGTCTAGACTGCAGCCACGTTCTTTCGAAATTAAATCGAAAGAACGCGGCTTTTCTTTCGATGGCGGTAAACCTCATTTCACGAGGAAGAACGCCTTTTTTCGAAAGTGCTCTTTCGAAAAAAAGGCGTTCTTGAATGCCAACAGGGCTTTTTAGAAAGAGAGCATCCAGACTCACTTGCTGCTTTCTTTCGAAATAGTGGCTTGCTTTTTCGAAAGTACTGCTTGCAGTCTAGACGCTCTTTTTCGAAAGAGGCTTGCAGTCTAGACATAGCCTTTGTGTCCTTAGGAAATCCCTAAGCTGATTCTTCAGAGTTGAGTTATTTCCTCCACATGCTTCACCAGGCTCAGTTGCAGAATTGTTCAAGTCAGCAGCTTAGAACCCCTGCTGCTCAGAAGTCAGCTTGAATGCTCTCCTTCTCTTTTAGTAGTACAAACGTGTTGTTAATTGCAAACCTGATATAGCTCAGAGTGCTAATGGGTGATTATTTTAGCTTTACAATGTCACTGTGTTTGATGAAATTATCTTCAGGAGCAAATGCAGTAATTATTTTTGCTAACATCTGTTTACAGTAAAGTTCAGATAAAATGGAACTGTGCATCAGCAATTTAGAATAACTGAAATACTTGCAGCTTTTTGTACTTCCAGAGGCAGAAGTTCTTTCACAGCTGCCAGCTGCAGGTAAGCTATTAAATCATAGAATAAAATCATAGAATACTAGAACTGGAAGTGACCTCAAGAGATCATCAACTCCAGTCCCCTATGCTCAAAGCAGGACCAAGTACTATATAGAATAGTGATAGAAATGTAGCCATGTTAGTCTGGTGTAGCTGAAACAAAAAACAGGACTATGTAGTACTTTAGGGTATGTCTACACTACCACCCTAGTTCAAACTAGGGTGGTTAATGTAGTCAACCGAAGTTGCAAATGAAGCCCAGGATTTAAATATCCCAGGCTTCATTTGCATCTTGCCGGGCGCCACCATTTTTAAAGCCCCGGTAGTTCGGACTCCGTGCCTGCGGCTACACGCGGCACGGAGTAGGTAGTTCGAATTAGGCTTTCTAATTCGAACTACCGTTACTCCTCGTGGAACGTGTGTTACAAGGAGGAGGGAGTAACGAGGAGTAACGGTAGTTCGAATTAGAAAGCCTAATTCGAACTACCTACTCCGTGCCGCGTGTAGCCGCAGGCACGGAGTCCGAACTACCGGGGCTTTAAAAATGGTGGCGCCCGGCAAGATGCAAATGAAGCCTGGGATATTTAAATCCTGGGCTTCATTTGCAACTTCGGTTGACTACATTAACCACCCTAGTTTGAACTAGGGTGGTAGTGTAGACAGCCAGTGTTCCGAAAGATGTGTGCATCATGCACCTTTTCAGACCACCCTGCATTAATGTCTGTGAAGCATCTACAGACTCATGGAGAGTCTGCAATTAATGTACTCAGAGGGAAGATGGTCTGGTGCCAGAATTGGAATGTGCATGCCCTCTATCACCCCTTCACTGTTTGCAAATTGCCACAATTTTCACACACGTTGCCCACAGCCACAGTCTTTTGAAGCAAGATATGATTGATGGCCTTGCACACTTCCACCAGCACAAGTCCAACCGTTGACTTTGCCACTCCCAAGCGATTGGCGACCAAGTGAGCGCTGTGTGGAGTAGCCAGCTTCCACAGTGCTGTTGCCACATGCTTCTCCACTGGCAGGGAAGCTCTCATGCATGTGCCCTTGCGCTGCAGGATGGGGACAAGTTCATCACATAGTCCCATGAAAGCGGCTTTTCTCATCCGAAAGTTCTGCAGCCCCTGCCCGTCATCCCAGGTTTGCATGACAATGTGATCCCACCACTCAGTGCTTGTTTCCTAAGTCCAAAAGCAACATTCCACTGTACTCAGCACCTCTGTGAATGCCACAAGAAATCTCCTACTGTATGAATGTTGTATGGACTCCTCATTGTCACTTGGCAGCTTCAGGAATAACTCGACTGCCATTTATACTGGGTTAGTGACCTATCAGTGTTTTTGTGACCAGCAGTGGCTCCATTCCCACAGACCAAGGAAGCAGAGCATGCAGGACAGAAGCCATTGAAAGAGGATGCCAAATGTGGCTTGAAGCACATGGACTACTGGAATGCAAAGCAATGTACCACGGTGTATTGGGCCACGATCCAGGATGCCCGGCACTTTCCCACAACCCCGGGTGGTAGAAGAGGAAGAGATGCTCTGTGGGATAGCTGCCTAGAATGCATCACTCCAAAAGGCGCAGTTAGTGCCTTGAGTGTGGTCATGCTACTGAGCTGGTGGCTGACAGTGTGAGCAGGGCTGTAACACTTGACATCTGCCAGTGTAGACAGACCCTGAGGCTCAGCTGTCACTTCTGAGAGTGCAGAATATGGGAAGCTAAAACTCATGCCATACAGCTAGAAAATGATCAACTCTTTAATTTCTCTGTTTTCTGAGTCCATCTTCCTTCCACCACCCTGCCCCTACTGGGAGCATGATTGCTTAGACATTCGCTAGTGCTTAAAGTGAGTAATAGAGCTCCTTAAACAATTCCATCCATTTCTAGGATCAACTAATGTGTTACACACAAACCCAGAAATCAAAGTAATAGAGAGGTAGCCGTGTTAGTCTGGTCTTGCTGAAACAAAAGACAGGACTATGCAGCACTTTAAAGACTAACAAGATGGTTTATTAGGTGATGAGCTTTCATAGACCAGACCCACTTCCTCAGATCAAATTGTGGAAGAAAATTGGCATGGCCATATATACCAAAAGGATACAATCAAAAAAGTGAACACATATAAAATAGACAAATCAGAAACCAAAGAGCAGCAAAACTATTGTGTTGCAGTTGCTGGGGATTTGTTTAATCTGCAGTGTGCCATGTGAGCTGCCACAAGTACTTCCAGCACACAGAAATAGCAAACACGGGACCTTACTAACACTGAGAAGTGCATTACTCTGCAGATTGACCCCCTGACTACAGACATTCATTCTTGGACTTCTTGCAAATCCAGTATGTGGACCTTCTTCCCACAGGAAACAAGTTCAAGTCTAATAGAATTCAAAGTCTAACTGCATTTCATCCACTGGGGACTTGACTCTTGAGAAGAACTATTCTCAAGTATATTCTTGTGTAGTGGAGATTAGGAACTGACATTAGATTCAATTCTCAGGCCCCAGACATCACAAAGCAACCAGAAAGCCACCCACAGAGAGCAGACAAGGATGCTTTCTGCCCTAGGGGAATCCTGTGGTATTGTAGATGGCTATAAGATACTGGCTCCACCCCTCTTCTCTCTACAGGGGTTTATATGCGGGGGTCAGGGGTAGGAGCAAGTAAGTGGGACAGGGCAGCAGTCTCTCTCTGATCTTGAGGTAGCACAGGGCTCCCTCTAGGATGCTATGCTTATCAGAAGCACATGGGATCTTTTTAGGGGAAAAGGCAAGATGCCACGTTTATTAAGAATACAATATCAAAGCAGCTAGCATATGCATATTCCTAAAGACAAGCCCCACCCTCCACACACAGCGGTCCTGCAGATGGTGTATAGTTACCAGTCTGTTGTGGCTCCAGTCCATCTTGCTGGCTAGGCAAGGCTGATTGAGTAAGGAGCTGGGGTTCCTCTAAAAGTCCTCTGAGGCTTGGCTTGGAGGACTGAACTCAGAGTTTAATGGCCAGAGCTTCCTTTCTTATACAGGCAGTCCCCGGGTTACGTACAAGATAGGGACTGTAGGTTTGTTCTTAAGTTGAATCTGTATGTAAGTCGGAACTGGCGTCAGCCGCTGCTGAAACTGATCAGTTTCAACAGCGGCTGAATCTGGACGCCAGTTCTGACTTACATACGGATTCAACTTAAGAAACCCAGGCGTCCCCAAGTCAGCTGCTGCTGAAACTGATCAGCGGCTGATTCCAGGAAGCCTGGGGCAGAGCAACTGAATCTGCCTGGGGAAGAGCAGCTGGGGTGCTGCCGGGTTGGTCCGGAGCGGCGCTGCAGGACCAAACCGGCAGC